GACAATCGACCCAGACTCGTTCAGTTTGCTTTACGGGCATGGGCACCTAGAGGTGGACCTTTTCACATTGATTTGGTTGAGGTGTCTTCCAGTGTATGTGGTGCCCTTCACAGACTGTGTGACCGTCGAGGGCGATGCCTTTCGGCTGGACTGGTAGAGTTGGGGTTACCTGTACCTCTTCCCACCGGTTCAGTTGTTGCTCCGGGTCCTGGTTAGCTTAGAGAGACTTCCAAGGGATGAGTGGTCGTGTTGGCTCTTTGGTGGTCGGCCCAGCCCTGGTTTCAGGCGCCTCTTGCTCAATGTCTGAACCCGAGGGTCTTCCCGCGGCTCCACCTCTTTTAGCAGATTGCACCATTCCAGTACGTGGCTGGTTCGATCTTCTCTGCCTCTCACGTCTGGTGTTTTTGAAGCGTGTTTATCACCACCTGTATGGTGATCAGGTGGCTTAGTTGGTGTCCCACCTGCAAGTTTCGTCTCGACGGCAATATGAAATTTCCCGGCGATGTTTTCAGCACCTGTCTCTTCATAGGTTGTCTTCGATTTCTGGTCGGTTATGTCCTTTCTCTCTTGGTTGTTTCAGGACCGTTTTCTTATGCCAGATACTGTCGCCTTGTTTCGGGTGGCGCTGGCGGAGCCGCTGCAGCTTGCATTTGGGGTGGATGTCACATCTGATCTGTTCCACAAGCTTTCTCGGGCGTTGTTCATCTCCGGCCTGCTCATGCACCGCCGGAGTTGTCCTGGTTGTTGCACCGGGTGCTCTCTGCTCCCTTCTCGGTTTAGGGTGGCCCCCCCCCCCCCTTGGTTCAGGACTGTTTTCTACGACTTTTTTTTTTATGTGGCGTTGGCCTCTGGGGGTCGGGTCGGAGAGTTTCATGCTCTCCTCCTGCACAGGGGGTTTCTGCTCTTTTAGTCCTGGTGGCCCTTTTCTTCGTTTGTAGCTGTCTCCTTCTTTTCTGGCGAAAAATGAGCCGGCTGCTTCCCGGAGAGGTCCTTGGTTTGTTGATGCTTAGTTGGTTCAGCGCTGTTTTGTGTCTGTGGCTCTTCGCTGTTATTTGCATGTTACGGCCTCTGTGGCAGAGGATGCACTTTGGGTTGACCCAGTTTCCCCGTCTTCCCTATTCCAGATCGCGGGTCTCCCAGATTGTCCGCAGGATAATTCGGTTCAGCCAGCCTGCGGTCTTTCCCCATGCCCACGCCGTTCATAAGTTCGGCATTCGGGATACTGTTTTGGTAATGTCCTGGCCTATCTTTTGGGCACGAGGCTATTGGAGGTCAAACAGGGTCCTGGCTGCACGTTCTGTTGTTAATGTTCCTAGTCCTTCTCAGGCGTGTATAGCCTTGGGTCGCAGGTTGCGGCCTGTTATCTCGACTTTGAGTTAAGGAGCGAGTGACGAGCGCCTCCCGGGTTAGTCCCTTTTCTTCTTATCTTTGGTTAGGTAGCTCCAGAGAGCCAAAGGGGTTCTCCACAAAAAACAGCGTTGAATGTAATGAAACGCCATTTTCTGGGTGAGACCTGGAGACTCCCCGGCATCCCTCCCTCCCTCCCTCTGGTCGGCGTTTTTTTTTTGCATTTTTGATACTCGGCCTCTGAACTGAGGAGAGTTGTTGGCGTGGAGGTCTGGGAACCCCCCGTCCCCCTCCAAGGGAGGGGGGTTGTGCAGACGGATGCGCGGCGGTTGTGGTAACGTCATGTTTGTTTCTTGTTTTTAATTGGGGAGTTCTGTTTGTTAGTTCGGCTTTTGGTTTGCAATTTTTGACCAGCAGTAGTTTGTTTTGAGATTCCTACCTTTGTGGGTGCCTGACCTGGTATCTTGAGGTTATCTTGAGATGATTTCGAGGCTTGGTGTCCCTGCGGCTCGGTCATTGACCAAGCCTCCACCCCCCAGGAAGCAGCCCGTAGCAGCTGTCTAGCTCCCAGGTTCTTATTTACTGCTAGGTAACAGGGGCATCAGGGTGAAAAACATTTAGCCCTTTTGTCTCCGTCTCCATCGGGGATCGGACCCGGAACCTTAGGACTACGAATCCGAAGCGCTGTCCACCCAGCTGTCAGGCGGAAAAAGACTGCTTCCAATTACATGGGTTGTCTTTAGGCCATTGCTCCTCGTGCCTCTCTTGAGGGGGCCAGGTTCCGGCTCTGGTCCCCGGTAGGCTTAGAACTCCGATTGACTGTTGCCACGGTCTAATATATACACATCAGCCCGGTATAGCTCCGGGGAGCCTCCGGGTCTCGCTCAGAAAATGGCGTTTCATTACATTCAATGTTTTTTTTTTTTTCATTTTTTTTTTTTTTTTTGATGGATGGGAGTTCTTTTGGCAAATTTGAGGCCTTGATCTTTCCTTATAACCAGCAGTGGTCTGTTTTATTTCACTGACTTTATTGGTGCTTTCCCGGTGGTGGCAGACATGATTAAAATTCACTAACAATTTTATTATAGTGTCACTGCACACTCTGCTTCTCCAGAGGGGGCCAGGGGCTGGCTTGTGTTCTCTGGTAGGACGAAAACAACTCCACAACTGATGGCACTAGTTGTTTGGCACTTTATCAGCATTGTAGCTTCAGAGAGCCACCGGGGCTTGGTCAGAAATTGTCCCTTTATTACATTCAACTCTGCTTTTCTGGGGGGAGCCCCCTTCGGCTCCCCGGAGCTATCCGGCTGATACGTATAAGGTTTGGGCATCAGTAAATGTACATGGAGTTCTAGGCATACCGGGAACCACGAGCAAGAACCTGGCCCCCTCAGAAAGGTGCGAGGAACAATGGTCTCTAGAGACACCTTTTATATATAGTTTAGAAGAACACTATGTCTGCCATCGACCGGGTCGTGCACGCAGAAAAATAGGCACCCTGAAACACCCTCCTTTTCTTTTGAAGAAATGCTACCAAACACCGAACGAGAGGATAAAACTCGCCATGAAGAAAAATGATCAAACGAGCATGACGTCATCTCGTTATCAAAGTCCTGCTGTCTGCGCAACCCCCCTCCCCCTTCCCGGGAGGGGGAAGGGGGAGACCCAGACATCCTGCCGGCTACCCGGGTCTGTCAGTTCTTGGCTGATGTCGGTGGGCTTTGGTTGTGTACCTCCAGCTCCGGCTTCTTTTCTTTGTACGTGTTTGGATCCCTGATTCTGCCCAATGCCGGTGTTTGGTTATAGATCTGTGTTCTTTCATCTTCTTGCATGATCTTATGGGCTGCTCTGTTGACCCCTCGGCAGGTGGAGGTAGTTCTCGTATCACCTACTCTTGCCCTCCTGCTGTATGTTGTCATTAGGACAAGAGGTGCCAGTGTTTCCAGTCATGGCTGCGGACTTTTTTTTTTATTTATTTTACGTACTAAATCTTTGTATTTTCATGCAGTACATGTCCTCTAATGTTCTCCTTCTCCGTACATCAGTGGCAAATGTGTCATCTGCTCTGCTGGAGCTGTTCCCGCCGTTCCTGCGGGATACAGTGTCGCCATTTTTCGCTTCACGTTTTGCATGTTGGCTAGTGATGCTCATTTCCTCGTTGGCTCTTGCCTGGGACCTTACTCTTTGTTTTCTTTCGCCATTTGTCCTAGCTGTTTGCGGAGTCTGCAGTTGGGCAGTTTCTACAAGCAGCTTCTTCTAGTTGTCCGTATCGGATCTTGTTGATTCTTTGGCGGTCCCAGGGGAGGTTTCTCCCGGATGGGGCAGTTCTGCTTGCCAGGGATTTGGTTATTTTCCAGCTCGCCAGGTTCAAATTCCAAGTGACCTAGCGCTGGTTCCATCTGGTTCCCTGAGCCTTAGTTCAGGTGCTGCTTGCTCGGTGCCCGCGACCAGGGGTTTTTCCAAGGGTTTTCCCACAGCTTTACCTCTTTCAGATGCTCGGTCCAGTCCGTTATGTGGCTAGTTCGGTCTTCTCCTCAAGTCTTCGCATTTGGTGCTTTTGACTCGGGTCTCTCACCATCTGTTTGGTGGTCAGGTGGCTTTGTTACTGGTGTCCCACCTGCGTGCTTCGCCGTGTCTTGTGCGGCGCTGGCGGAGCCGCTCAGGCTTGCTTTCAGTTTTGATGTTTCTTCTGCACTGTTTTGCAGGCTGTCTCGGGCGTTGTTTCGCTCCGGGCCAGCTCATGAGCAGCTTGAGCCATTTTCCGGAGGGATCCCTGGGATTGTTGATGCCTGTTTGGCTTGGTCGGGGGTGTATCTTGTGTCTAGTTGTGGCTCTCTGTCATTGCCTGCGTGCCGCAGCCTCTGTGGCCCTGGTTGCTCTTCGCATTGCCTGGGTTCCCTTCATCCTTGTTCCAGGGTTCGGGTCTCCCAGGTTGTCTGCGGGGGTCGTTTGGTGTTGCCAGTTGTCTTGCTTTCGGGTCTCGGGCCCGTGGTTTCCGCCTCCCGGGTTGTCCCTCTTTTGTCCTTGTTTTTGAGCAATTAGCTCCGGGAAGCCGAAGGAGCTCCCTCCAGAAAACCAACGTTGAATGTAATGAAACCCCATTTTCTGGGTGAGACCTGGAGGCTCCCCGGCATCCCTCCCTCCCTCCCTCCAGTCAGCAGTTCTTTTCGCATGTTTTGACATCTAGGCTAAGGACTGACCGGCGGGGCGTCTGGCACTCTCCCTTCACCCTCCCAGGGAGGGGGCGTTGCGAAGACGGCGGCACTTTTGTAACAAGATGACGTCATGCTCGTTTGATCGTTTTTCTTCATGGAGAGTTCTATCCTCTCGTTCGGTATTTAGTAGCATTTCTTCACTAGAATGGGAGGATATTTTGGGGAACCTGTCATTCTGGGTGCCCGATTCAGTTGATGGCAGACATGGAATACTTCTAAACTATATATAAAGTGTCTCTATAGGTCATTGCTCCTTGCACCTCTCTGAGGGGGCCAGGTTCTGGCTCATGGTCCCCCCGGTAGACCTAGAACTCCATGTACATTGACTGATGCCCAAAGCTTATACATCCGTATCAGCCGGATAGCTCCAGGAAACCTCCAGGTCTCGCCCAGAAAATGGCATTTCATTACATTCAACACTGGTTTTTTAACTTTCAGAGAGGTGACGTATGCGATGACTCAGACAGCTGCTTAGACGATTCATTGATAGAGGTGAAAAAAGGTAAATACAATAAATTAAATGTGTTTCATGGAATTAAGTTGCAGGGGAGGTGATGTTCTGTTGTAGTCATTATGTTCATAATCTAAGTTTACCTACTGGATTGTGCTGGCTGAGAAAATTCATTTTGCAAAAAAGCACAGGCCGGGAAAACACCAATTTAGATTTCGTACTATTCAAAATGCACGAGCTGTAGGTTGCGTACGAAATGGACTCCTCGGACCACCAAAGAGAGGCAGCCATCTTGAAAAAAACATTTCCCTAAGGCTGCTGGCTGGATCAGTTCTGAATGAGCAACCATGTGGGTGGCACACTCCCAATCCCCTGTCGGACGCGGTGTTGAAAGATCACTCATCACTGGTGAAATTCAAACCATATTGTTTGAGGAACATAATGGTCATGATATTGATGAAGCTAGGCACAATAAGGACCTAACATAAGGGTCTGATACAAGTGATGCAGCACCAATGAGAACGATACAGCGAGCGAATCCAGTAGTAGCCGAGCGCCACCCATGTCCACTCATGTCATCTCCAATTTATATAGATGATACAATAGATGAATTGTGTTCTGGGTTCATTGATGATGCATCTGATACAAGTAGGATAGATGAACAGTGTGTTAGTGGCTTCCATGTGGTGTTTATTGCCAGCGTTGGTGATGGCAATATAAGGAGCACTGATGAATTCGCGAGGGAGGACTGTGATAATTTTGTAATACACAAACCACAATTAGATGATGTTGATGTTGCACCCACTTTCCCATATACAGGTGAAGATATGAGTGATTCCAGGACAGAATTTTGTCATTGAGCTTTTCCTAGATCTTTCCAAGAATACCTGGATTTTCTCAATGCTACCTTATAAACCGATCTTTTCAAGAATATCTGAATCTCTTCAGAATACTGAGTCTTTTCAATCGTACCTTACAAATTGATCTTTTGTTATAATCTTTTCAAGACTACCTTACACTTCTCAAGCTACATACAGAGCACCACTTGGTTTCCAAACCCCTTGGGGACGAGACCCGTCGGTTAACATGTAAGTTCGTAAACTAGAAATAAATGGGAAAAAATAAACTAGAAATGTAAAAAAAAAAATTACAAAAAATTTATGGAAAAAACTCTAGGTGAAAACATCGACAGGTTCATAGCGTAAATGCAACCGTATTTTGTTTGTACTCACCAATAAGTGAAGTATGAAGTCCTGATCCGCTTTATAAAAGTCCTTAATTGTTCCTAGCTGATTATTAAGATGTCTGGCAAACATCCTCTGGATGTTTCCTGCCAGCCTGCAGGAACATCCTGCCAGCCTGCCAGCCAGCCTGCCTGCATGCCAGCCTGCATGCCAGCCAGTCTGCCAGCCTGCCTGCCAGCCTGCCTGCCTGCCTGCCTGCCTGCCTGCCTCACTCTCTGCCATCCTGCTAACGGGTCGAGTGTGTTAGGCTTAAAATTCAGGAGTGAGCCGGTCTCTCCCCCACCACCCCCACCACCGACAAACCTCCCCCCCCCCCCCCCTACATCCCATACTCTCTTCAAGGTCACGCGGTTCAACCACATGACTATCCCTGCCTCCCTCTCTGCCTGCCATCCAGCCTGCCTCCCCCTCTGCCTGCCATCCAGCATGCCTCCCTCTCTGCCTGCTATCCAGCATGCCTCCCTCTCTGCCTGCTATCTAGCCTGCCTCCCTCTCTGCCTGCCTCCCTCTCTGCCTGCCATCCAGCCTGCCTTCCCCTCTGCCTGCCATCCAGCATGCCTCCCTCTCTGCCTGCTATCCAGCATGCCTCCCTCTCTGCCTGCTATCTAGCCTGCCTCCCTCTCTGCCTGCCATCCAGCCTGCCTCCCTCTTTGCCTGCCATCCAGCCTGCCTCCCCCTCTGCCTGCCATCCAGCCTGCCTCCCCCTCTGCCTGCCATCCAGCCTGCCTCCCTCTCTGCCTGCCATCCAGCATGCCTCCCTCTCTGCCTGCCATCCAGCATGCCTCCCTCTCTGCCTGCCATCCAGCCTGCCTCCCTCTGCCTGCTTGCCATCCAGCCTGCCTCCCTCTGCCTGCTTGCCATCCAGCCTGCCTCCCTCTGCCTGCTTGCCATCCAGCCTGCCTCCCTCTGCCTGCCTGCCATATCCAGCTTGCCTCCCTCTCTGCCGGCCATATCCAGCCTGCCTCCCTCTCTGACGGCCATATCCAGCCTGCCTCCCTCTCTGCCGGCCATATCCAGCCTGCCTCCCTCCCTCTCTGCCGGCCATATCCAGCCTGCCTCCCTCTCTGCCGGCCATATCCAGCCTGCCTCCCTCTCTGCCGGCCATATCCAGCCTGCCTCCCTCCCTCTCTGCCGGCCATATCCAGCCTGCCTCCCTCCCTCTCTGCCGGCCATATCCAGCCTGCCTCCCTCTCTGCCGGCCATATCCAGCCTGCCTCCCTCTCTGCCGGCCATATCCAGCCTGCCTCCCCCCTCTCTGCCGGCCATATCCAGCCTGCCTCCCCCCCTCTCTGCCGGCCATATCCAGCCTGCCTCCCCCCCTCTCTGCCGGCCATATCCAGCCTGCCTCCCTCCCTCTCTGCCGGCCATATCCAGCCTGCCTCCCTCCCTCTCTGCCGGCCATATCCAGCCTGCCTCCCTCCCTCTCTGCCGGCCATATCCAGCCTGCCTCCCTCCCTCTCTGCCGGCCATATCCAGCCTGCCTCCCTCCCTCTCTGCCGGCCATATCCAGCCTGCCTCCCTCCCTCTCTGCCGGCCATATCCAGCCTGCCTCCCTCCCTCTCTGCCGGCCATATCCAGCCTGCCTCCCTCCCTCTCTGCCGGCCATATCCAGCCTGCCTCCCTCCCTCTCTGCCGGCCATATCCAGCCTGCCTCCCTCCCTCTCTGCCGGCCATATCCAGCCTGCCTCCCTCCCTCTCTGCCGGCCATATCCAGCCTGCCTCCCTCCCTCTCTGCCGGCCATATCCAGCCTGCCTCCCTCCCTCTCTGCCGGCCATATCCAGCCTGCCTCCCTCCCTCTCTGCCGGCCATATCCAGCCTGCCTCCCTCCCTCTCTGCCGGCCATATCCAGCCTGCCTCCCTCCCTCTCTGCCGGCCATATCCAGCCTGCCTCCCTCCCTCTCTGCCGGCCATATCCAGCCTGCCTCCCTCCCTCTCTGCCGGCCATATCCAGCCTGCCTCCCTCCCTCTCTGCCGGCCATATCCAGCCTGCCTCCCTCCCTCTCTGCCGGCCATATCCAGCCTGCCTCCCTCCCTCTCTGCCGGCCATATCCAGCCTGCCTCCCTCCCTCTCTGCCGGCCATATCCAGCCTGCCTCCCTCCCTCTCTGCCGGCCATATCCAGCCTGCCTCCCTCCCTCTCTGCCGGCCATATCCAGCCTGCCTCCCTCCCTCTCTGCCGGCCATATCCAGCCTGCCTCCCTCCCTCTCTGCCGGCCATATCCAGCCTGCCTCCCTCCCTCTCTCTCTGCCGGCCATATCCAGCCTGCCTCCCTCCCTCTCTCTCTGCCGGCCATATCCAGCCTGCCTCCCTCCCTCCCTCTCTGCCGGCCATATCCAGCCTGCCTCCCTCCCTCCCTCTCTGCCGGCCATATCCAGCCTGCCTCCCTCCCTCCCTCTCTGCCGGCCATATCCAGCCTGCCTCCCTCCCTCCCTCTCTGCCGGCCATATCCAGCCTGCCTCCCTCCCTCCCTCTCTGCCGGCCATATCCAGCCTGCCTCCCTCCCTCCCTCTCTGCCGGCCATATCCAGCCTGCCTCCCTCCCTCCCTCTCTGCCGGCCATATCCAGCCTGCCTCCCTCCCTCTGCCGGCCATATCCAGCCTGCCTCCCTCCCTCCCTCTCTGCCGGCCATATCCAGCCTGCCTCCCTCCCTCCCTCTCTGCCGGCCATATCCAGCCTGCCTCCCTCCCTCCCTCTCTGCCGGCCATATCCAGCCTGCCTCCCTCCCTCCCTCTCTGCCGGCCATATCCAGCCTGCCTCCCTCCCTCCCTCTCTGCCGGCCATATCCAGCCTGCCTCCCTCCCTCCCTCTCTGCCGGCCATATCCAGCCTGCCTCCCTCCCTCCCTCTCTGCGGTACATTCAAGAAACAAATCTGGGTCACAGGTTTGTCGAGTATGGTTAGGCTTACGGAGTCAGCCGGTCCCTCCCCCACCACCGACACCCCCCCTCCAACCCATTCACACACACACACACACACACACACACACACACACACACACACACACACACAATTATAGACCTGTATCATTGACAAGTGTAATAGTGAAAGTATTGGAAAAGCTAATCAAAACTAAATGGGTAGAACACCTGGAGAGAAATGATATAATATCAGACAGACAGTATGGTTTTCGATCAGGAAGATCCTGTGTATCGAATTTACTCAGTTTCTATGATCGGGCCACAGAGATATTACAGGAAAGAGATGGCTGGGTTGACTGCATCTATCTGGACCTAAAAAAGGCTTTCGACAGAGTTCCACATAAGAGGTTGTTCTGGAAACTGGAAAATATTGGAGGGGTGACAGGTAAGCTTCTATCATGGATGAAAAATTTTCTGACTGATAGAAAAATGAGGGCAGTAATCAGAGGCAATGTATCGGAATGGAGAAATGTCACAAGTGGAGTACCACAGGGTTCAGTTCTTGCACCAGTGATGTTTATTGTGTACATAAATGATCTACCAGTTGGTATACAGAATTATATGAACATGTTTGCTGATGATGCTAAGATAATAGGAAGGATAAGAAATTTAGATGATTGTCATGCCCTTCAAGAAGACCTGGACAAAATAAGTATATGGAGCACCACCTGGCAAATGGAATTTAATGTTAATAAATGTCATGTTATGGAATGTGGAATAGGAGAACATAGACCCCATACAACCTATATATTATGTGAGAAATCTTTAAAGAATTCTGATAAAGAAAGAGATCTAGGGGTGGTTCTAGATAGAAAACTATCACCTGAGGACCACATAAAGAATATTGTGCAAGGAGCCTATGCTATGCTTTCTAACTTCAGAATTGCATTTAAATACATGGATGGCGATATACTAAAGAAATTGTTCATGACTTTTGTTAGGCCAAAGCTAGAATATGCAGCTGTTGTGTGGTGCCCATATCTTAAGAAGCACATCAACAAACTGGAAAAGGTGCAAAGACATGCTACGAAGTGGCTCCCAGAACTGAAGGGCAAGAGCTACGAGGAGAGGTTGGAAGCATTAAACATGCCAAAACTAGAAGACAGAAGAAAAAGAGGTGATATGATCACTACGTACAAAATAGTAACAGGAATTGATAAAATCGACAGACCTGGCACTTCAAGAACAAGAGGTCATAGATTTAAACTAGCTAAACACAGATGCCGAAGAAATATAAGAAAATTCACCTTCGCAAATAGAGTGATAGACGGTTGGAACAAGTTAAGTGAGAAGGTGGTGGAGGCCAAGACCGTCAGTAGTTTCAAAGCGTTATATGACAGAGTGCTGGGAAGACGGGACACCACGAGCGTAGCTCTCATCCTGTAACTACACTTAGGTAATTACACTTAGGTAATTACACACACACACACACACTCTCTCTCTCTCTCTCTCTCAAAGGTCACATGGTTCACCTCAACATCCATACATCCTTTCCTGCCTGCCTGCCTTCTTCCCAGCCTGCCAGCCAGCCAGCCAGCCAGCCAGCCAGCCAGCCAGCCTGCCTGCCTGCCTGCCAGTCAGCCATCCAGCCTGCCTGCCTGCCAGCCTGCCTGCCTGCCTGCCAGCCTGCCTGCCTGCCTGCCTTCATTCCTTCCTTCCTTCCTTCCTTCCTTCCTGCCTGCCTGCCTGCCTGCCTGCCTGCCTGCCTGCCTGCCTGCCTGCCTTCCTGCCTTCCTGCCTGCCTTCCTTCCTTCCTGCCTTCCTTCCTTCCTGCCTGCCTGCCTTCCTTCCTGCCTGCCTGCCTTCCTGCCTGCCTTCCTTCCTTCCTGCCTGCCTTCCTTCCTTCCTTCCTTCCTTCCTGCCTGCCTGCCTGCCTTCCTGCCTGCCTGCCTTCCTGCCTTCCTGCCTGCCTTCCTTCCTGCCTGCCTTCCTTCCTTCCTGCCTTCCTTCCTTCCTGCCTTCCTGCCTTCCTTCCTGCCTGCCTGCCTTCCTGCCTGCCTTCCTTCCTTCCTGCCTGCCTGCCTTCCTTCCTTCCTTCCTTCCTTCCTTCCTTCCTTCCTTCCTTCCTTCCTTCCTGCCTGCCTGCCTGCCTGCCTGCCTGCCAGCCAGCCAGCCAGCCAGCCAGCCAGCCAGCCAGCCAGCCAGCCAGCCAGCCAGCCTCCCTCCCTCCCTCCCTCCCTCCCTCCCTCCCTCCCTCCCTTCCTTCCTTCCTTTCTCACTGATTCTCCCCTCTCTCTCATACTGCCTCCCATCTAAGCTCCCCCATCCATCCAACCACCAGTCAGCCATCACTGATGCAGTGCGTGCATTTGGAGCCAACATGGTGCACAGATGTTTCTTGATTGTGCAGATATGTAAATCAAAAGCACAGAATGAACATTCCAGCCTCATGACAATTCAAAACAATAGAAATAATAGGCCGTGAATCTGTGAAGTCACAGTGGGCAAACTGGACCATCTCCCACCCATCACCACAGGCTGGCCTGACACTTGGCGGACCCCTTGGGTTGGGGAGCATGACTCCCCAACCCCAATCGGGAAACTGGAAGTTTTCGGATAACTAAAGTTCGGAAACCAAGTGGTGCTCTGTACCACCTACAGGTACTAAAGCCAAGGGTGAACATCAGTGCGTGATTTGCAAGCACACAGAACGAAGAAACAGGAAGCGAAAATCTGTTTGTAATTGTTGCATCGTCTTACCCCAGGTGGGGAGTGTTATTGACTAGGGAGGGCGCACTGCAACCGGTACAGCTTGCACACGTGGCGGCCAATGATTCTCTCTGGCTGCCAGTTTATTTGTTGTGTGTCTTCGGGGGTTTTGTTTTTCTTTTCAGAATTTTCACTTTTTAACGGAGTACATCTGCCTAGCTTCTTACTAGGCAAGCCTAGGTTGTGTTGGTCCTCCTCCTCTGTTGCCCCTGAAGTTTCATGGCTGCTACTGGTGGTCAATTTGTCTGATGACAGACAGGGTTCTACCAGCTTAGTTAGTCCCAGTGCCTTGGCTTCCCATAGGGCTTACTCACCCTATGGGCTCCTGAAAAAACCCAGTTGGCTCAGGGGTACTATGGATGTGTGTTCCAAGTCGTCATCTCATCTTGTGCGAAATTGAAAATTGTTCGTGCCCCCTGCCTCAGGGAGACGATCATCCATACTGCCTCCGTCATGCTGCCTGTTGGGTCGGTTAAGTTACACCTACAACCAAGAATTTTGTGCGACTTGTTCCCCGCTTGTGCTTCAGTTTGCCCATTCCTTATCTGATGATCTCAGGGATCAGGTGGCAGCTGTGTTGCATGCTTGATTCTTCTTATTGCAACGGCCCGGGTTGGTTGTCCAGTTGGAGGCCCCGAGGCAGCCCCACTTGAGTTTTAGGGACCAGGATTTGGGGGCATTGGTTGCTTCGACCTTGGTTCAGTCCATGCCCCCGCTTCCTTCCCTGGTGGGCATGGTTTGCCCTGCTCCTTTCCCCCCCCTGCTTCCGGCTTTACACCATCTGAGGGTTTCCGAGTCAGGGCGGGGCTTAGCTTAGGATGAGGCTTGGGTGGCTTCAGGTTTTGCCCCTTCCAATTTGGGTGTGGAGGCGGATGAGCCCGAATTTCCCACCGAGGCTTCTGGGTCGACCCAGCAGACTCCCTTCTTCGAAGCTTTTCCCGTGGACTCTACATTTTCTTCTGGGGTGATGGGTGTCAATGAGGGCTATGCCCCAGGGCCTGTGTCAGGGGTTCCTGGGAATAATGGGGAGTCCTCTTGGAGCGCTTGGGCTCCTTTTGACCCTGCTTGGGCCCCTTGTGTCTTCTGGGCAGGGTATATTGCTGCAAGGGAGGAGGTTTTCATACCTCGTTCTCTTTATGAATTTGAGTTAAGTGCGGCTGCCCCCTGGGTTTGTTTTCAGGTGCCCTTGGGATCCTCGGATTTGTCCTTCCGGAGGTTACCTACTTCTTGGATTTCCCCTGGGGTGGTTCGGGAGGCCCTTGGTGCATACAGGCAGCAAGTGTAGGTGTGGGCATAATGTGTGGCAGCAAGTGTAGGTGTAGATATGATGCCAGGCAACAAGTGAAGATGTAGGAATACCTCCCACGAGACCCAGTTTACACCTCTGTCATGGATCCGACTTTGTTTTGAGTTCAGTTCTTCTCCCTCGTATTGGGTGTGTTATGAGGTTCCAGAGTCTTCCTGGGTGGCAGACTGCCCCTTCTCTCTAGAAGCTTGGTGTGACTATTGTTAAACCTGCACGCTTGAGTGGCAAGATGCCTCTTCGGCGCTGGTCATCTTCTTGAGGCTCGCTCGAGTTCCTCAGTGAGTGCCTCATCGCCCTTGTGCTTCCTCATCATGTAGGTCTGGTGCAGTTGTATGCTCAGGTCCCCACTCTTTCTGCTGCTTTGGCTGATGACCTTCAGACTTGCGGTCATTTGACCTCAGTCTTGCGCTTCTTCAGTCTTCTGGAGCTGTCTTCGGATTGGCTTTCGGAGGATGTGGGATGAAGCCAAAGTCTATCTGTACCTGGTGCAATAATAGCGAAGTTTCATTGTGTACCATGGACTGCTTCGTCGATTATTACTCACTTCCGAAGTACTGAGTGTGTAATATAGTGTGTTACTGTGTAAATAGTGTGTGAACCTGTACATATTGTAATTTTAGTGAATTTTTAACAAGTAATTTTGCGACAATATACATTTATTGTGGACACATTACTGATACATGTATCACAGTTCTATGGAACATTATGAACCTTCTACTATATACATATTGTAAAGGACACAAATACGCATCATATACGACAAAAAAAAAAAACACATTGGAAATACATAGAACAAATAATTTAAAATATAGCTGTGGCAACTCGCGGTGCTTGAATGGTGCACGCGACCGCCTCTGGGAGCTTCACGCACGGGCGACCAGCCCGTGACACCCCCTTCTCCACGTCCCCACAGCCAAAGTAAGTGGAATTTTTTAGTTTTTTTTACATATACATGTTCAGGGAAGGGAATTTATTACTTTACAAAGATTAAACAAATTTGTGAACACTTGATTTTATGAGCACACGGGGAATGTCACAATAAACCTGGCGCATCACAGTGGCTAAGTGGGTAGTCTCGTAAACAGAAGTTGGGTCACCTGTGCCATCAGGAACCATGCGCTCAGTCGACCCATGTATGTATCAACAAAAGTAACAAGTCGAGGCAAAGGTCGTAACCCGGTTTGAATTTTCCAACGAAATTGGGGTCGTAACCCGAAAAATTCATAATTAGGGGCATTCGTAAGTTGAGGTTCCACTGTATTTGCAAAATTTTATTAACTGAAGATACCTATTTTTAATCACAAATGTTTTTCCTATTTAATAACAAAATTTGATTAAAATTTGCATTTCTCATTTTGCAATGTTTTCAACCACAAAGGTGTAATGCATTTCACTTTTATCTTCCAACAGAGGCAATAAAAGTTGAATGTTGGGGAGATAATGATGATGGCTACTATGATATGTGTGTTGGAGATGACAGGGATGATAGCAAAGATTCGCTCCACATTAATGAGAACTCGGCAGGCACGACACAGTAAACAATAACAATTGTAACCAGGTGAGAAGTTATAAAGTTTGAATGTATTCATATACTTTGGTCTGAACTTCCATCTTTTTCATGCATATATTACATCATTAATAGTGTAGTACTGCACTACAGTACTTGAAGGAATTATTGTTGGGTTTGTCTTTCTTGTAAGGGCTGTCTCTTGGGTGGTATAATAGTTTCCTTGAAGAACATGTCATAAAATATGTGAACAGTTCCATGGACTTGGAAAAAATAATGTATTCAATGTAGCGAAATGCCCTTTTCTGGGAGATCCTCAGTCGCTCCGGGAGTTTATCTCTGGTACCACCAAGACTTAGCCCAACACACCAGGCCTCTGAGGCCCATCTGTTACCTGCCAGGAGCCAGAACCAGAATCTGGCTCACTCAATGAGGTGAGGGATGCAGTGGGTTTCATACAAAAAAAAAAAAAAAAAAAATATTTCTTAAAAGAAAATAGGCACCACTAGGTAAACTTTCTGATAATTTTTACACTCCTGAATATTTTCATGCTCTGTCCATGCTATGTTCTTCAGTAAAATAATGCCAATTTTGATATGAAGGTTTTCTGGAGGAGCTGCTTTTTGGTTCATTTTTCCCATATTTTCTGGGAGGAGCCCCCTTCGGCTCCCCAGAGCTATCCAGGCTGATATGGATATTATTTGACTTTGGCATCAGTCAGTGTGAATGGAGTTCATGGGCCTACCGGGGACCACGAGCCAGAACCAGGCTCTCCTCAGAGAGGGGGCCCAGGTTCCCCTTGGAACCTAACTCCATTGCACCAGGAGCAATGGCCTATAGAAATGTACATGTGATTTGGAGCATTCTATGTCTGCCATCGACCAGGCCAGGGACCCAGACAGGTAAGCGCCCAAAACAACCCTTCCCCCCCCCCCCGTATTCTCGTTAACACAACTACTGAAAGCTAAACGAGTGGACAGAACTCCCCAAATGAAAACGATGTTACACGGCATGTGTGACATGCTCCTTGCCGGGGAGGGAGGCCCAGATTTTTCAGGCCGACTATCCACACCCCAGTTCTCGGCTGATGTGGCTTGGTGTCAGTCGTGTGACTCCAGCTCCTGAATTGTTGTCTTAGTGCTGTGCCTTGGGTTTGGTGCTGTCTCCACGGTGATGCGTGAGCTGGGAGTAAATTCACAGGTGCTCAGGTTGCATGTGCTTAGGGTTCCCTTCCCTAAGTGCCCTGTAAGTACCCCACCTTGGGGCTTGGGGTTATCTTCCACAAGGTACCTTGGGTCTACCTCTGCTGGGTCTTTTGCTGCTTGGTGATTGGTTGCACTAAGTGTGCTTTTTTTTTTTCTCCCTTGTTTACCTTTGGGTAAGAGGTAGGTTGCACTGGTAGGGGCACAGGGTACTGCACAGCTAGTTTTCACCTATCATAGCGGCCGACTCTGTTCCACCTGGGTACGTTGTCCACTTGTGGGGGTTTTTCTTTTGTTTTTGTTTGTGCCTGGTGGGGTGGGGGCTCCAAAGCATCTGATGGCTTCAGGATTGGAGCAGGGTTTAGTTAGTTTTGAGACTCGGGCAGTCTCAGAGGATGCCTCTTCTTTGGTGGCGAGGGAGGTATTCGAGTCGGTTACTCCGGCCATGGCTTCGGGGTCTGACCAGTGGGCTGCTTCTTCTCTTGCCTTTTCAGCTGCCCCGGCTTTTTCTTTTGAAACCGGGGCCTTTGAGGACAACTCGGCCCCGGGTCTTGGTGTGGAGGTTCCCGGTGCCGGGGAGGGGATGGTGTGGGGGGCCTTGGGGCCTCGTTGGACCCCGCCTGGGTTTTTCTACCCTCCGAGCGGGGCTTATTGTTACAAGGAGTGGGGTTTTCACCCCCCCCCCTTCCAGGTACGAGTTGGATATATGGTGTCAGCCCCTCCCCGAGTTCGGTTTCAAGTCCCTTCAGGTCCGTCGGTTCCGTCTTTCTGGGGCGTTTTCGGCTTCCAGCATCCCACTTTTTGAGGTATGGGAGGCCATTACAGCTTACCTCCTGCCTGACCCACATTACACCTCTATTATGAATCCATCTACTTTCAGGTTTGGGTCTTCGTCTCCTTACTGGGTTCAATATGGAGTTCCGGAGTTGTCCTGGCTTGTGGACTGCCCGTTGTTTTCTTTGGATGCTTGGCATACCTTCTGTCGTATCCACACGCACGAGTGGCGCGAGGCGCTGACGGTGGTCCAGGTTTTCATGGGGGCGAATTTGAGCTCCTCAGTGTGTTATTGTGCAATTGCACGTGCAGGTTCCTTCCCTTTTGGCTGCCCTGGTCACCAAGGACTTGCACACTCGTGGCCTGTTGACTTCGGTCTTGCACTTTTTTTCCCTCTTGGTGCTGTCTTCGGATTGGCTTCAGGAGGATGTGGAGGTTCTTGGCACAAGTCTGGTGCCTTGGTCTCAGCGGAACGTACGTTGTGTGTGCTGTTGAATCTGTATGCGCCGATCCTGCGGGATGCAGTTCCCTGTTTTTCGCTTTGCGTCTCGCGTGTCAGCAGGTGTTGCTGGCTTCCTCTATGGAATCCACTTGGGCCCTGGCTCTTAGGATTTTATCGCCTTTTTGTCCTTTGCTGTTTGTGGAGTCTGCGGTTGCGCAGTTTTTGCAGGCAGCTTCATCTACTTGCCGTCCAATATCCGACTTGTTGGTTCTCTGGGGTCCCCTGGGGCTCCTGGGGATTCCTTCTCGAAGTGGTCATGCCAGGGCTTGCAGTTCCGTTCAGCACAAGGCGGGGGGGGGGGAGTAAAGCCTTGGCAAAAAATTATAGGCCAGTTGCACTAACATCACACATAATAAAAGGTTTTGAAAGTGATTAGGAATCAAATTTCTAGTTTTATGGAAAATAATGAGCTACACAACCCAGGACAACATGGATTTAGAGCGGGAAGATCCTGTCTGTCACAGTTACTCAATCACTATGACAAAATCATAGAAGATCTAGAAGAAAAGCAAAATGCAGATGTAGTATACACAGACTTTGCAAAGGCACTCGACAAATGTGATCATGGAGTGATTGCACACAAAATGAGGTCAATGGGAATAACTGGTAAAGTGGGACGCTGGATACTGAATTTCCTGTCGAGCAGAACACAAAGAGTAATAGTCAATCAAATAAAATCAAGTCCAAGCACAGTTAAAAGCTCTGTACCTCAAGGTACAGTCCTTGCACCACTGCTGTTCCTTATTCTCATATCAGATATAGATAAAAATACAAGTCACAGCTTTGTGTCATCCTTTGCAGTTGACACAAAAATATCAGCATGAAAATTACCTCTGCTGAAGACATGGAAAAATTACAAGAAGATATCAACAAAGTTTTCGATTGGGCAGCAGAAAATAAGATGATGTTTAACAGCGATAAATTCCAGGTACAGCAAAAATGAGGACCTGAAACATAATACAGGGTACAAAACACATATCAAATCTGCCCATAATAGGTAAACAGCATGTAAAGGATTTGGGAATAATGATGTCCGACGATGTAACGTTTCAGGAGCATAACCAAGCAAATATTGCGTCGGCCAGAAAAATGATAGGATGGATTACGAGAACTTTCAAATCCAGGGATCCCTTCACGATATTGTACTCTTCAAGTCACTGGTGTTGTCCCGTCTCGAGCACTGCTCAGTACTCACTTCCCCCTTCAGAGCAGGAGAGATTGCTGAAATTGAGGGAATACAGAGAACATATACAGCACGCATAGATGCGATAAAGCACCTAAATTATTGGGATCATCTCACAGCTCTCCAAATGTACTCATTAGAAAGGAGACGAGAGAGATATCAAATAATATACACATGGAAAATACTGGAGGGCCAGGCCCCAAATCTACACAGTAAAATAACAACTTACTGGAGTGATCGATATGGAAGAAAATGCAGAATAGAACCAGTGAAGAGCAGAGGTGCCATAGGCACAATCAGAGAACACTGTATAAACATCAGAGGTCCGCGGCTGTTCAACGTCCTCCCAGCGAGCATCAGAAATATTGCCGGAACAACCGTGGACATCTTCAAAAGAAAACTAGACTTTTTTCTAAAAGACGTTCCGGACCAACTGGGCTAGTGGACCAAACTCTCACAAGTCAAGCCTGGCCTCGAACCGGGCTTGGGGAGTGGAAGAATTTCCAGAATCCCATCAACCAGGTAGGTTGCTGGTACCAGTTTCGGAGCCGGTGCCGCCTTCAGACCCATCTTCATCTGGTCGGCGTAGTGTTCGCTCTGCGCGGAGGGCAGGTTCTCTTAAGGAGGCATCGGGTCTTTTGCGGTTCATCCCATTGATGGAGCGATGGAGGGGAGGTTTGCTCTGTTCACTCACGCCTGGTCTCACAATTTGTGGCCTTTTCAGGTCGTTTCCGAAGACCTGGAGATGGTGTTGGGGGGCCCTGACCTCCTTTGGGGGGTTCAGGACTGGCAGGGCAGGCCTCTTCTCCTGCGCTCTGTCAGGTCATCTCGGAGTGGGTGCGCTTAGGCGTGGTCGAAATGACGACGTCCCTTCGATGGGTTTACCGTCTGTGCGGATCTGAGGGTCATTCTGGACTTGTCCTGTCTGAATCCCTAGGTCTCTTACCCCCCCCTCCTTTCGGATGACTATTCTGTCCCAGGTCCGGATTCTGTTGGAGCCGGGCACTTGGACGGTGTCCCTGGACCTCAAGGACGCATATTGGCATGTTCTGGTTCATCTGGGGTTCAGGGACTGGCTCAGGTTTGTTGTGGGGCATCTCGGTTACCGCTTTCGTTGCCTTCTATTCGGTTTGAATCTGGCCCCTCGCATGTTTGCATGCCTTACTCGGGTCGTGGTGGCCCGCCTGCATCTGTTAGGGGTTCGGTGCTGGCCTACCTCAATGACTGGCTGGTATGGGCTCCGAGCCCGTCCGCGTATCTTTTCGCCAGGGATTTGGTTCTTTCACAGCTCGCCGGGTTCAGATTTCTGGTGAACTGGAGGAAGTCCCATCTGGTTCCCTCCCAGGTTCGAACTTGGTTGGGTTCTTGTAATTATCCAAGTCTAATTACC